TCCATTCCCGTTCTTCCCTTATTCGGACAGTGTACTCCGTACTTTCAGCCCAAGCCCATGGTATGAATACGCCTTCCGTAACCTAATAGTACCATCTAGTAAGTAGTACTCCATAGTAGTGGGTAATTCTCGGTCCCCCTCCCTCCTCCCGCCAGCTGCCCCAGCACTAGCGAACCTCGATGATCATCAACCCGCTCAAGAGGACGACTGGTGGGGATTGTGTAGTAGTGGTAAGTAGTATTACTTGCGCAACTGAAGATATCTTTTAGCAATCATGGAGTCAGTTCGCACGAACCTCAAGCTTCCTCAGTTTCGTAGTTCTCTGGGTTGTGGAGTTCAATCAAATTATCGATGCGCCACCGGGTGTCCTTGTGAGTGGCCCGCTCCGAACAAAGCCCTGGGCCAGCTGCCACAGCCCCGACGGAGTGGTCGATCTACAGATAGTAGTATTAGTCAGGTTAGTGGTCAAGGTAGTTAGTTAAAGTACGTGCTTTAAATGATGTTTATCTTCAGAAGAATCGAATCGCTTTGTCAATATGATGATGGACATTTTCGTGTGGTGGGACGGGTGGGAAATGCCATCTTAGTTATTTAATCAATTTATTTTTCTGCCGGGACGATAATGATGGAAAATGAGGGTAAAGAGGTATGTCCCAGCCGAAGGGAAAAAGAAATCAAGAAATAAAACCTTTCTCAAACGGGAAAATACAATATGCGGAGGGGGAAAAATAAAAATAAAAATAAAATTCAGGAATAAATTAAAATAAGTGACGACGATAATAAAATATTCTAATATAACCGAAAGAAAAATAGTGAAATAATAAAATAAAATAAACTAAAATCGACCACAACAGGAAATAAAAAAAAAAGGGCAGTATTTTCCCCCTACTACTGCACGGCCTTACCAAAAACACACAGCGGCATATGGGTAAAATAGATTCTATCCATGCTTTTCTAGAGTAGCAGCTGTCCGTTAGTGTTTCGGCTTGATACATTCAAGGATTATCCATGCTGCTGGGATCCCACCACACGTCCCCAGTGCGATGCCAAATCGGGATCGAGAGGATGATGGCCCGAAGGGAGGGGAGGGGCCCCCCCGATGCACAACGAAAGTGGATTTGGGTTCTTTTGTTCAGATGCAATCTCGATCCATCAGTTACTACTATCTAGCAGACAGCAGACAGGCTGGAAAACCTGAGACGTCCCCAGTCGTCAAAAAGTCCAGTCCTTTTCCGTTCTTCCTCTCCTCCTTATACTTAAGGGCCTCAAGATCCAGATCCTTTGCCTGTTCCTGACTTCACTTTTCCTCCATCACTCTCCTCTCTCTCATTCGTGATCGGATCTGCATAGTTCTGGCCTCGCTTGCTTCACATCTCAACCGTTTCCGTTACTATTAGTAGCCGGCCTTAACTATATCCTCTTCGGCACCTTGTACTACCTAACCTACATCCACATCCACATCTTTGTGTCACCGTCCTTCTTCACACTATCTCGGCGCAACGGCAGAAGTACTTTGGGTGATCAGCGTTCCTCACGGGAGTACCGGGTCTCGATCGACTATCTAGTGCACCAGTACCGGTTGTCAGCAGTTTCCCTGCAATCTACTATACCAATAGAACGTCCAGCTACTGTTTGCCAGCCATCCGGTGGTGTTTGATCTTGCGGCTAGGTGAGTAGTAGCTGCTTGCTATGCAACCATTTCCCAACATGTCCTTAGCATGGAGGATGTTTGCGTGATAGTACTTCCTGCCTAGCACACAAATGCCTCCAACATCGGTTGGGATATGCATGCTTGTTCCCTTCCAATAGGCCATCTCAACGGCTGATACTTAAAACAAATACAGACACTAACTGGCTGGCAGACGTTGACAGTGCACCATAATTGCTATATCTGGGGCATTGCAGCAGCTCTTTGACCCATACACTAAATTTCCAGAATCGGGAAACGCCTACAAATCGAGCACATTCCCCGCCACCTTCCGGAGACTTATTCTCTTTCATCCTGCAGAGTCATAAACTTGACTCTTCCTATTCACTTTGAACTCGTGCTTAAGAGCCGGTTCATCTCCAAACGCATCAGCCTCGATACATACATCCCGACATTTGTGCAAGCTTCTGCCCTAGGGCCACTATGGTATTCAACTCTCCTCTTCCGAGGACAGGGCTTGGGAAAAGACCCTCGTCCGCCATGAAAGGCGACGGTATTGGATGGGAGACTGCTCCTGTGAGTAACAAAATACAACGTGGAAGTCGTTTACTAACTCTAGATGATCGAAGGCTATGCTACCCCCCCCGCGTACATCGATCAATCTGCCCTACGCACATTATGCTTTGATATACTTGGATCACATGGGTAGGCTCCGCGTGTCGGAGTCGCCATCGATCCGTGACAATCACGCCACTATCTTCACATCTGAAGTGCGAGAAAACTTCCTGGAAATCCTTGGAGCAAGAGTCGGATATCAGAAGCCTCTACTTCAGAGTAAGTACATTCACTCCATTAGGCTGGTATATAGCAAAGCTGACTTTGCGAATCTTAGGCATCAACCCCGCTGCACTGAGCTATGACCGCTCCGACGATGCGTCTTGCCACCGCCATGGCAAGAGACGTAGACTCCACGTTGAAAGTCCCGTTCCAGTTACGCAGAACCCTCGTTCCGAATTCCCAAGTTCGCCGTCTGGCGCTGCAGTAAACCGGATCGCACTTGAAGTCGGTGATACCGATCGCCTGGAACAGTACTACACGATCTCTCTGAGACACTTCCAGCAGGTCAACTGCCGCGTTGTCGCAAAGGCATTCATCAAGTTCATCGAGCCGCGCAAGCAAGTAAGACATCCCTATAACGGAGGCAGGCCTAAGCCCGGAGCGCCCCCTGGCACCAAAGGCGACCCAGAGAAGACGAAGCCCGAGTGGTGGCCGGCTGGTGTAGTGCATAGGGAGCCAGATCATCTGAAAAAAGAGGGTAAGTGGCTAGCCTATTGTCTCTTTACGGATCATCGGTACTTACAAAGCACAACAGAGAGAGTTGACCTGTTGGTCCATATCGTGCGCAAGCTTGGTCGCATTGGAGTCACAGCCGATAAGCTGCTAGAAATCGCATTCGACTGTAGAAGACAGCTCAAGGAACAGGAGAAATTTACGATTATTGAGGAAATTTTCAAGGTACGCAAAATGGAGGAAAGATATGAGCGAGGTGAAATCGGTAAGTATCCCTCACAAATCCCATAATCATCAAAGACGATCGAGGCTGAACTGGTGCTAGATGCTTCAACCCTCGTATACGTGATGGATCGTGAAGCACACCCTAAGGGTGACAAGGACGCCGACTCAGTCGCTGGACCGGAGGCAAAAGTCGAGCCAGAGGAGCCAGCAGACGCGGAGGAAGAGGTCGCGACCCCGACCCCTTCAGTAGAGGAAGTTGATGCGTCATTCATCAAGGAATCCAGCGACATGCCAGTGCCTCAAACTATGCCTCTAAGAGAGGGAAAAGATCCGCTTTTCCCTTTGCCGGGGTCTTACAATTTTGGAGAGCCAGCGAGACAGGATCAAACATTCTTCACCTCATCCGGCGAGTACTCCGGTAACTATTCCGGCGCGATTATTGAGGATCCCGCCACTCAAGGATTGATCACACCTATCGAAGAGGCTGCCTCGTTCGAATACCTGACGCAGGCCCCTTTCCCGGACTCCAGCACTGCCGAACACCACGCAGCAACAGTGCCAATGCAGCACTCCGTCAGCCAATATGACCACTGGGCTCCATCCTTCAGGGAGGAGTTGTATAGCCCTTTGGAATATGGTTCTGCGGCCGGCCATGGCCTCCCAGAGCCTCGTGTGCACTATCCGTTGGGATTTGCTACCCACCCTGAGGAGATACATGGCATGCCCGATTTTACTCGCGATCAGCATGCGTATATGGAGCCGATGAGCTCGAGGGGACCCCTATTCCGTACGGGTTCTTTGAGCCATCCACACTTCACTCATTCTCACCAGTGCTGATCAACGGCGGATTCAGCAGTCGCGCATTGTGTCTGAGAACCAGACAGTCTGCGGGATAACTCAACTTCACGACACGTACGACCATGATGAGATTTTCTCCTTCGAATCTTCAAGCATTTCCCTTCTTCTCGTGCTTTTGCCTAGGTGCGATACTATTGAGGGTCTGCTCATTCATTGCCTGAGTGGGCACCTCGTTTCAACATCTCTTTACTTCTCATTTGTTTTCTGCTTTACGAGATGTTTTAAATATATATACATGTTTCACTTTGATCAGCACGATTCGACAGTGTATGCCTCGCGGATCTCCAGGCGTCCAAGAGGACCATGGACGAGATCCGACTGCGGGTGACCTCTCACGGGTTCAAGGCACATCTATGTTTTGGGTTTATTGTATGTTTGCGGATGAATAGACTTTGGGAAGCAAAGGCGCTTGGGCGCTTATGGAGAAAAGAAAAAAATTCCAGGTTGGTGGATGCTACCATGGGAGCAGCGAGTCTTTTGGTTTATGGAAATTTTTGTGAGGCATGTGACAGCAGCGTTTTAGCGTTTGTAACGATTTTCTATCAGTGGACTCAAAAAATACATCTACTTCTTCGAGCAATTTGTTTCCTCAAGCTGTTTGGTAGGAGACGCCGTAAGATCAATACAGACAGTCTAGTAAAATCCAGGTAATTTCCGACACTGGACATGTTAGAGTGTATGCAATAACCATAGAGTACTAGACAACAATGTACCAATTAGGGGAGCTCCGATCAGGCGCGCGGCAGTGGCGCTTGCGCTTGAACGGGCTTAGCGTGCATTGACGCTGTCCCGCCGATGAATCGGAGCTTCGCGCGGTGGACTGAAGACATGACACTCCTCCCATCACTACTAACAGCCAGTAGTCCGTCGCTGGCTTGTCTCGTCCTGCATTATCCGGCATCTGAGCTTGTTGCATTCGCAATCGTGCGCTCAACCGTCACCCGGTTCCTATAAGATAGCGCTTCGCTTTGTATCGGAATACTCCACGCCTTTGGAGGTCGGGGAGTCCAGGAGCTCGTACTCCATCTTCTCTCATCCATCGACTGCTGCCCTCCGACTTTCTGTCAACGAACCTCTAAAGGTACCGAATCACTCGCTGCTTGCTCTCGCGTCTTTCGCTTCTTTCAACATTGTCGCTTTCTTTTTCATACGGTTTTCGTGCCTTCGCGATTTTCCTTGACTTAAATGATATCATCGCCATGTGGTTTCACAAGTCGTCCCGTCTTTACAAAAGCTGACTTCTCCGTTACGCGCGTGTCAATGGTCTTGGACAATAGCGCTATATAGCTTTACGATTTATCAACCTACGCCCGTTTCGCGAACGACCTCGTCCGCATCTCGCTCGGATTAACGGTTAACGACCCCACTCAGAAGCTCTGAAGATCATACTATTGGAGGACATTTGGTTTCGTCCACGTTTCCGCTGTACACGGCAAAATGGCCGGCCCTGTAAACCCCTTTGCTGGCCTCGGCCAGAAAGATGGGCCAGCCGGTTCAGCAGGACGTGGACGCGGTGGACCATCTGGCCGACCTTATCAACCCAAAGCCGCCAATACGTCACGCGATACCAAAGTTCGAGGCCGGGGACGAGGGGCTTCATCAGCAACAAGGTCTGGGCGGGGGCAAGGAAGGGGCGCTAGCTCAGCGAGCAATACCTGGCGCAACAAGTCAGATTCCCCGTCGGGGTCTGTAGGACCGATTACCTCGCCTTTCGCACAACTTAAGCAAACGGCCCCTGCGTCGTCGCCCTTTGGCGGCCAGACATTGCAGCAGAAGGCGTCTCCTACAGGGTTTGGAAAGGCCTCGCCGGTGCCGTTTGGTGCCCCCAACTTCGATGGCAATGGCGTCGGCTTCGGTACGGGTTTCAGCCAAGGGCCCTCCCAGCAGCCCTCGCCTTCAGATAACGGATCCAGCATTCCCGTCGAAGAGCTGTCGCATATGAGCAGCTATACCGAGCGCTACGAACAGGTCAGTTATGATTACAATAGTCGGATGAACAAATTGCGCAAGGGTTTCCAAACAATACTCATATGTCGAACAGCTTAAACTCGCTAGAACCAAGGAACGGGAAAAGGCCATTAGAGAGGGGCAGATGGCAGATCCAAATCAACCGACTTCCTTGAATCAAGCCATTACACCCGTGGGCACGTGTACGAGCATGTGCCCTGAATTCGAAAGAGTGGAACGTATAGTTCAAAAGATGGTCGACAAAAGCGAGAAGGTACGTCTCGTTGTATCCAGTCTGTCGCTATCATGGTACTGACCCCAAGTGACTAGTTTCTGCATCCCGCAACGAATTCGCTACAGAATATGGAACTGAAGATGCTAAAACGGTTCAGAAGATCCGCAGCCGGCTATGATGAACAGCTTCCGTCAGACATTCGAACACCCAAGACCCTCCTTCAGACCATGAACTACCTCATACGGCACGTCATTGATGGGCCCGAGCCTCTTGGACTTATCCATAAGTTCGTATGGGACCGAACTCGCTCAATCCGTAATGATTTCTCGGTCCAGCAGCTCACACAGGAGGACCATGTGAAGATGGCGGTAACATGCCTGGAGAGAATTGCTCGGTTCCACATCATATCACTACATCTGCTGTCGAGCCCTGCGAATGATGAGCCTTTTGATCGCCATCAGGAACGCGAGCAGCTGAACAACACGATGTTGTCACTGATGTACTACTATGATGACAATAGAGGCCGGATCGCCTTTCCGAACGAAGACGAGTTCAGGGCCTACTATATAATTCTCTCGATTCATGACCAACGGCCTGATTTGGAAGCTCGTGTCCAGAAGTGGCCCGCGGAGCTGAGGAACTCACCCCGAGTTCAAATCGCCCTGGAATTGTTTGCTGCTGCCGGGAATACATGGGAGTATCAGGGTACTCTCGATGCGAAGCGACCAAACGCGATCGCGCAAGGCTTCTACGCACGGTTCTTTAACATAATTGATTCGCCGGGTGTTTCCTATCTCACAGCCTGCGTTGCAGAGATCTACTTCAACCACATGCGTCAAACCGCTATTCGTTCCATCTGGAAAGGATATTGTCGCTATCCTGCATCCCAACAGCACAAGAACGAAGAATGGACCCTTGACGAGCTGACGACAGTTCTTTGCTTTGATGACCACGAACAGACTATCAAGTTCTGTGAAGAGCAAGGCTTGGAATTTGCCGAGAACGCCAATGGTGATCTTTATCTTAACTGGGGCAGTCGTCCAATTGATACAGTCGGTACGTTTTGCTTTCGACAGCGCTTCTGCTTCCGAGATTTCGTCTAGTGGCGTCCGAATCAGCATCCGAGGATGGCTGCTATCTCCCCATGACAGTCCTATAGGAAGCTACTACTTAAACTCGACTAACTGTTCACTGCCACAGCCTTTCAACCGTCGTCAGATCACTCATTCTCGGAACAGCATGTTGAGTCAAAGCGTGCAGGCAGAACACTGGCTGCCATCATCCTTGGCCTCAACATCAAAGAAGCTGCAAATCTCGGAATGGTCGATTCATCTCATCTGTCCGAGCGCATTCCTGCGTTGCCCGCGCCCATGAGTACAAATGATGACTCGCTTTTCGTGAGCGACGATGATAACGCCTCCCAACCTTTCAACTTCAAAACGGCTGGGTCTCCTTCACAAGAAGAGAGTCCACGCGACTCGCCGAGCTCTGCATCTAGCCTTCAGAACGCATTTGCGGGATTTTCACAGCCTGAAACTTCGAATCCACCGGCTTTTGCGTTTGCTCCTAATCCGACTCCACAACCATCACAGCCCTTTGGTACGCAGCAACAGACATTCTCGTCGCCATTTCCGCCCAATAGCACAGCCAATGCCTTTGGGTCACCTGCAAGTGTACCTTCAAACCCTTTCGCAAATGTTATGCAGTCATCCACCCTATCGAAGAGCCCCCCGAAAGAAAGCATTGCAGCCTTCACACCTTCGTCCGCAAATCAACAGTCGAACACCCTCTTTGCCCCTGCACCGAGCCCAGTCGCAACACAAGACACAGAAAAGCCTTCCGTATTCTCTACTACCACGCCTTTCAGCTTCGCGAATGCCGTCAACTCTACTACCGCCCCGACATCACCATTCAGTACCCCTGCAGTTTCTTTCGCCCCAAAGTCCGACCAAGCCAACGTAGCGGCTGCTGGCCAGCCCACACCTACGCCTTTCAGCACAGTAAAGGGGCCCTACTCATCAGGGGCATCTAGCTCGATCTTCAGCTTTCCTAACGAAAGCATAACTTCTGCTGACGCTATTCCCCCTCAACCTCAATCAACCCCACAAGCTTTTGCAGCTGCATCATCGCCATTTACGAAAACGTCTGCCTCGGAGAAGCAAGGTATGTCTTCTCCCGCTTCATCTTTGTCGTTATCTATTTCTAAACCGCTTCTCAGAGCAATCCCGCCTGTTCTTCTCTCCGCCGCCTCGTGTGCCATCCGACACCGCGCCCCAAACTCAACTGGGCAGTCCGTCAGTTCAAGAGAAACAATCGACCCCCTCCGATGAGAAGACCGCCGTTCCTTTCGAGAAAGAGGCCTCACCTGAACCGTCAGTCGCAGAAGAGCACATATCACTCCCAAGCGATAACGTTCCCATTGAATCGCTGCACTCATCGACTGCTCAGGAACCGGAGGCAACGAACGCCCTTATTGATGGAGAGCGTTCAGTCCAACCAGTTGAGGTGGAAAAGGAACACGAGCCTGTATCTCTTGAGAGGCCCATTGAAGAACCAACTGCCGGTCAGTCCCTGGTCTCGAGCTTTTTACCGCTACTGTGCCGCTAATTCATGTTTCTACAGAACTTACGAATGATTCGCGGCGTTCTGCATGGTTATCAGCTCTGAAAGGAGCTGCTGACAGACGACGAGAAACTGTGTCTAATGGACGTAAGCGAGTCCACGAGGAGCCAGAAGAACCAAAACTCGTGGAAAGCGTACCCAAAGCGCAGAAACTGCAAAAAGCCGACGTGCCCACTCCGCAGAAGAAGTCCATGGCACTTGCATCTACGAAACCTTTACCAAAGCTTCCGATTCTGGAACAGATCGAATCGATGACCGCCAGAAAGCCGGTGGGGCCCAAGCCCGAGGCGCCGAAATCGGTTCAAGTTGACGAAGATGAGCTGCTTTTGTCTGCTGCCCGCATTGCCGCCGAATCATTAAGAAGTGGACCAAAGCTCCTCGATGGGTGGTCTACATCCTACGAACCCCGAAGCTCTTCCTTCAGTCCCGGGGCTAGTTTATCATCTTCTGTTGCATTCTCCAGAAGCCAGTCCCCCCAATCATCATCCTACATCAATGGCTATGAGGTCTCGCTAGCCCCAGATACCGATCTCGGACTTGGCCGTACGTTGTCTCGAACCGAGCAACGGATCCGACTGACAGGAGCTAAGGGTCTAGCGTACAAGCCGTTGGATTTCACTCCTGACAAGAAACGGAAATCTCGCTAGACTGACAGTAGATCTTAGCCCTGCGCATCCTCTTCCTGTTCTTTCCTTATCCCTGATTCTGAATCATATGCAATCTGCACGATATGCGACGTTCATCTCATCTGATTCCATTTCACCTTAAAGAGACCTACTGTGATTCTGGCTATTCAATTCACTCCTATACCACTGCATTCAGCATCGGCGTTTTGAGGTTCATGTACGCCTTTATTGTGTCTACTTTTCTTCGGGCTTGTGGTTGAAACTGTTTGATTCGAGATTCCACTATGTCTCGGAATCTTGTTGGAATTGGCGCTGTGTATTCCACTGCGAATTGAAATAGAACCAGAATTTTCTATACCCATACAGAACATACCCTTTATGCTTCAGTCAGTATCCGAGCCTTATTTAGATGTTCACATCATGCCTGTATATCTCTATCATAACATCGAGAAAGGGGTTCATATTCTATGAGACAGACATTGATGGAGGAAGAAGGTCTTCCAGTTTGCTATAGATTTAACTATTACTTCCAGGATTGTTGGTGTGCAAGCTGAGTTAATGTGATTGAAATATACGATTGGTTCAGCCGAATATTAGTACCAATAAGACTACTAGTAGTTGAGAAGAGTGAGAATCATTGAAAGTCAATTAATCACTAATCTACTTGTACTATTATTATTCTAAATGAGGATAGTATAGCGGCAAAGTCACTAACTAGTAGTTGTACATATACTAAAACCCTCCGTCGATGTACACACTGAAATCGAATCAGAGACGCACGCACGACTTGAGCTTTTGGATAACGATGCGTGCAATTGCTTGGCTCATACTTTTCCCACACATTTGTCGAACCGAATAGAATATTTCGAACAAAGTCTGAATGCATTTGAAAATGTGGTTAAGATCTGACCCGTCAATCACGCCCCTTTCACAGTTTTATTTGCCTTGGCTTGCATCCGGCGCATGGCTTCGCGATGCAACTCGCTCATATCGCCTCGTTGCATACCCTCGGCAATTGCATTCCCAATATTATGACTTGCAGAGGGAGTCCGCTGTTGCGATTGAGTATAAGCTGGCGGGTTATTTCGGTCCTGGGGTCCTGTAGGGATGCCTTGTTTGCCGAGAGGGTTACGCCTATCTCTTAGATCCTCCTGGACGGATTCCCGCCATGCGGCCATCGCCGCTGGTGTGTTTGTTGGGGAAGGACCATTTGCATGATTTCGCCGGGGAGTTGAATAGGGGGTGTGTACTGGAAGTGGGGTTATGACTGTTTGCTGCTGCTGAGATAACATTGCGCGACGTTGCGATAGCGGCATGTCATCTGCCCCGTCGTGGATTCGGTATGAAGCCGACCGCTGCAGGGTTTCAACTGGTACTTGTCCGGGACTGGTTCGTGAGTATGGATCCATGGTTAGTGAGAATGATGATAGCCTGTTTCGCATCATGTCCTCTCGTACTGCTATCAGGGGCGCGGGACCTCGCCACTGCGGTTTAGCAGCCTCGGTTTCGTCCGGAGGTGGTTCTGTGAGCCCAGGGCTTCCGAGCAGCGTGTTCGTTTGATATCCGTTGCTGAAGCGCGGCTGTGCAGCTGGTGGGGGAGAATTGGGTGACTTCTTTTTGTTCTGGTCTATATGAGAATTGTTGGAGACCCGTCGACTCTCCCGTCTGCTTGGTGTATCTTGGACACGGGGCTCTACTGCTGGAGGAGGCTGTGCGTTGAACGGTGTTTGCAGTAGTTCTTCGACGTTGACGGGTACTGCAGCCTCCTCTGTATCAGGGGAGTACTCTGGTTGCTCTTCTTCGATCGGCTTGATGGGTTCCAACTCGGGAGCTTCAGCATCGGCCAGATGCTTTGCCCACTCATTCGTTCGATAGGATTGTACCACTTTAGATGTCCGCTTTGGCAGTTCCTTCACTGTCTCTTCGTTCAACTTGGGATGTTCAAGCTTGATCGGCTCTGGCTCGATTCTGGGTAGTGGCTCTGGAGACTTTCGTTTGTCATGGAGAGCTGCTCTCTTGGTTCCGTTACCGCTCTGAGGGGACGGCGGCGATGGATCTTCTGCATGAGATTTCTCTTCGCTATCGCTGATGTCGGTCTTTTCGGGACCGTCGGAATGGGGTTTATCGCATTCGTGATCTTTCATGACAGCTGCTGCAGTCTCTGTGTCTTTGGTGGCATCTCCCGGTTGTCTTCCTTCCTCAATAGCTGATTTCCCTAGACATTCAGCGGGGTTTGATGAAGGTCCTTCAAGCTTTTCTTCTCCTTGGACAATTTCTGAGGCACGTCCGGAACTTCCATTACTCTGTCGGTTGACCATTGTCATTGAGGTCTCCGAAGCTGTGGTATGTGATTCTGCGTTGAGGGCCCCTTTGGTCTCGTCTTTCTCAGGTCCCTCTTCGATGGCTAGAGTGGGCGACTCTTCGCTTCCTTGCTGAGTGCTTCTTTCACCACCATCTCTATCAATTGGTGACTTTCTGTCATGGGACTGGTGGTTAGGTTTTGCCTGCGGCTGCTCATTCTCATCGACGTGAGGCTTCTCATCCGACTTCGGAACTTTCTCCGTAAGTCCAGGACTATCATTGTGAAAAGTAGGGCAATCTGAGTCCAGGTTGCCGCCCTCGTCTACGGTGCCGTGCACGGATGAGGTGCCATCATCAACGGACACCAGGGCCTCCTTAGACTGAGACATGGGTAATTCGTCGTTTCGAGACGTCCGTGGCATGCACGATGGCCCGGATAGTCGCTTTGAGCGGATCGTTGCAGTATCTGAACCGATGACAGCCGTCATGTCAGAACTTTTATCGTCCTTTATCTTGGCTGCGTCTGCACCGTCAAAGACCTTGATCGGCAGTGGGCCACTTTCCTCCTTCAGCTTATCTGATATTTCTTTGGCCGTTCCAGCCGGTGCGTGGTCAAAGTCTCCTTCAGTCGCACCCGTCACATCGGACCCAGCATCGCTGTTTGCCTCTCTTTCCCTGCAATCCGAACAGCGGTAGGAGCCTTCGGATGTCTCAGCTATGCTTTTCATGTCGTAAACGTCTCCCTTCTCCATAGCATCCATCTCGTCTGCCTGACATTTGGTGTCATCTCCAAGTTCCGAAACGCCCGCGGCTGGCTCGCCACCACCATATCTCGCTTCCCACTCCTTCCGCTCTTGCATATTATCCTCTTCCAGCTTTCGTCCGAGTTCGGCCTCGGCTTCTTCCTTCTTCTTCTGCTCTTCATCGCGCTTCTCTTTCTCCTTCCGTCGACGTTCACGAACCACTTTCCATAGCCGCAGTTGTGAGACCACGCCCAATATAGCAATAATAACTGTAGCAGCGAGCTCCACACGAATATTACGGGTGATTGGATACGTAGTCGTATTCAACGGGAAGATATTGTCGTTCAGACCTAGAACAGGTGTCAGTTGCTTTGCCTCATTCGTGACCGAGATGAGACTGACTTACCCCATATGTAGAGCCAAAATTCTTTCAACCCTGCCCGACTAAAACAATCGATTCCAAGTGCAACGGCGGTGCCCCCGGAAATACCCGTTGACACAATAAGTCCGTAAGGACGTGTATGATGACTGAATGACAAGGCATAGAAAGCAACTGAGATTGCGCCGATGAACCCACTTTTGGAATCGGTTGTGGTGAGAAGACCCCCCGGTTTCAAAGAAAGCAACCACATGCTGCTACAAAATCCTCCAAGTAGGCATCCAAGGCCTTCGGTTAATTCCTTGAAAACGATCGCAAGCGCGCCAAATGTAATGCCAGTAAAGAATACGGCAACGAGATACGCCCCCTGGACGGCAACTCGGACAGGAGGGCTCATTACATAGACAATAAGAACCTACAAGATAGGGTGATTAGACAGCTGGCTTATCAAGGTTTGTGAGAAAACCTACCGTCACCCCAAGGCTAGTCAGAAAAGCCGTGGATAGGAACACTTGCACCCTAGATCACTCGTAAGCCACGGAATCGAAGCATATGAAATATAGAGAACTAACCTCAGATTGCGAATGCCAATCACTGCGAGAATGGCGCCTGTGACGATGAGAATGAAACCGCCAATTCCCAGGGCAGGTGTAACTGTGGGCTGGATAGGAAGGGCATCGGGGCTGGTCGAGTTCTTGCCACCTTTGGGCCAGGTCAGTATCGAAGAGGAATAGATGGGGGCATTGGATTGCAGGTTCCCTTGCCTTTCGATGCTTGAGACGTATTCAAGGACGTGATAGTTGTGGATGCTGGGAGAGTTGCATTCGACGATGCTGTGGAATTGCTGTGTGTTATCGCTGATTCTGTCACGCTTGGTGATGCTGTGTCACTGAAGGTTTCACTGGCAGCTGTCGTGCTCGGAGTGGCCTCTCTTTCTTCAAGGCTGTTAAGCTCATGGCGTTCGGGAACTGAAGTTTGCGCCGCGACAAACAAGCCATGCGCAAGGCAGGCGAGCAGAGCAAACACAATTAAGAATCGCATGGCGAGTTTAGATCGATGACGAATCGCACAAGATAATCAGTGTTACCGATAGGCTGGTTCCTGACTAAACGATGTCTGTGCCTCCGTACAATGGCAGTGGGATTCGGATTGCTGCCTGTGGTGTTCTCAACGGCCACTTTTTCACATAATTCCCATGCAGGCCGCAGACACTTGTAAGAGTAGGCCTATTTTTGCACGATCAAGTCTCGAGATAGGCAGAGAGGTTTGGGGAAGCGTGGCGTGATTCAGGCGGATTGCTCAACAGTACAATGATTTCATCTATACCACCTATATGTAGCCATGAGGGAGAGCGAAATGAGAGGGAAATAGTGGGCAAAGGAGACTACGAAAAAGAAAGCAAAGTAGGGGAGCAAAAGAAATAAAAGTCCCCAGGCTTCACGTTGGAGGTGATCTAAAAATGACCGCTTTTCTTTTTCTTTTCCTTCTTTTTTCGTCTTAAAACCTAACCATTCCGGTCCGATAGCCACGGTCTGCTTCATCGGCAATTCGAGGAGAATAACGATGGTAGCAGTAGACTACCTGCACGAAAGATGCGGGCTGATCCACTCCCTGTCGCCCAAAAAAGCAATATCCTTCGCATGGTTGTGCATGTTAAATGGAATTATTTGGCAAGGATCCGCCCCTGCAATCCATTGACTTTGGAGTTGTCGAATAAGCATGGGGTACTCCATGCATCGTGATTAGACATCATCCATCATCTTCTATAAAGAGCAGCGAACTGGACAAGAATCTTTGTCTCCCCATTCGCAACACATCCACCTACTTAATTGGTTCGAAAACTGAGAGCCTCTCATTTGAGAGCAGTGGGAATAGAACCACTTGTATTTCGCAGGCCAGATTTCATCAGATGTTAGCAAGTCTCGGGAACCTGGAAGGAAAAGCATAGAAGCGAATGCACGCGTGCGATGGCCGGGCTTCAATAGGACGGCTGAACGCGTTGGCCTACTTGGCCACGGAAGGGCGATGGCATATTGAGCGTAAGAGAAGATTGGCTCTAGCCCTG